TAATTCTCTCTCAAACTCCCTCTCAAACCCTTGCCGCCATCTTCAACCACCACCCAAGTCGCCTGAATCCATGGCTTCCAAAGCTATTAAAGGCCTGTACCTGCCTCCTATAACTCCTACATGCTCGATTATTAGGGTTTCAAGACCAGACTTTGAAGAAGCTTGGTCCAGACCTTGATGTATTTCGGTGCTATGATGTCTCCGGTCATCTTCGACCTTACTCCGGCTAGCCATGGCTATTCAAGCCTGATACTTGGCTCATCCTGCTCAGATCAATGACTTTCCAAGCCTTTCTCACCATCTGCGTTCTTCTGAAATCCTAGCCTTCGAGGTTCTTCTGTTTCTTTTAGATCCGTTGTAGATCTGTGTTTTCTCTAAGCTTTTAAACGTTTTCTCAAAGTTTCTTTCAAGGCTTTACCTTTAAAACCCCTTTTACCTTTTTCGATTTAGGATTCTGTTAAGTCACTTCAAAGCTTTTCTGATTTTTAACATGTTCTACTGTGTTTTCATGTTGTTCTTCTACTAGAGTATGCTTGTTAAAAGTTTTAGTCCTCTTTGAGACTTCTGAATTTATTTGCATGATTTACTTGCTTTCATCTCTACAGTCGATTGATAGTGAAAACCCTAAATTTGGGGATTCATTCGAGTTTTGAGACTATTTGCTATGTGATTCGCTTGTTCTTCATCTCTGAACTTGTTTGGTTTCAGAGCCCTAATTTCTTTGAACCTGTTCGAGTTTTTGAAAGTTGTTTCATCTACTGCTCGATTGAATTTCTGAATCCTTTGTTTCTCTATATGATTCTAACTTCCTTGACCCTTTTATTTAATACTTTCTCTTCTCTGTTACTGAGTAACTGAAATCGACCTATGTAACTACCTGTGTCTGCTACTATATGATGTTCCTCTTTGACCTAAATTCAGCCTCGCCTGCTTAATACTTATATACTCTTTTATATGCTAAGTTTCCCTCTAAAGTGGCCTTCAATTTGGGACTGATTTCAGACCTCCTTGTGTAAGTCTGATTGATTTTTTCCTTGTTTTACTGATTTCCCTGATTCTTGGGTTGATTTGAGAACCTTCCCTTAGCCTTTCGATTCTCCTATTTCTGACTTGGTTTATTTATACTTTCAAATCCCTGACTCCTTGATTTACTATGTACTGGTTGGTTTATTCTGTTTCTTACCCTATTTGGTTAACCGTGTAATTCAAAAATTCTTCATTAATTCTTCCCTTAGTTAAATCCCTATGTATTTACCCCTTATTGCCTACTTTGCACAAGGTGCTTACTTGATTTCTTTCCTTAAAAGTTTTCTGCCCATTACCGTTTAAGTTTGAACTCTTTAATTAAAGGAAGCCCTTGTACTGATTGATTTTTAATTGATACATAGTTCCATAATTACTACTAAACTATGATTCTTGCCTTATTTGCTACCTATTTTCAAACTATAAATACCCTGCTCCTTCATTAACACAAACACACACGAACACTCTGAGTTCTTAAAAATCACTTACACTAAAAAACTTTTCTCTGTTGCTTTACTAATTCTACTGTGGCCTGCCTTCAAGCCCTGCTACTTGCTTTTACTGTATATTGCTCTTTGAACTGGTATGTCCTGATTTAGATTTTCAGCAATCACAAACAATGTGTTTACTTAATACCTTTACTTGCATGTCTGCCTACTGTTTGTGTTTAATTCAGTGTTTACTTTAGCATGCTATAATTTCCTCCTATTATGAATCCCAAACCCCTTACCCCAATGTGTTTGATGCTAATGGTTTGTTTGAGACATGACATTATTGAGTATTATTGTCTATGGCTCAAACTTGATTCCCCTGGAATCATAACCTCTATGTCACCATCATATGTTATGTATTCTTGTTGATTCTGTAAGCATAACAGCACTCTCTATTGCTGTGCATGCCCAGAATTAGCTAATGCCTAAGCACATAGGCTCTTTGGCAATTTCCTCAATCCCTGAACCCTTTGTATGACTTGTTTATGGCTGTTTCCCAGCACCTCTCCCCCTCTTCTTTACTTTCTTAGTTCTTTAAAACTCAATTTCTGCACTTGCACTCTCTCTTAGACTTTAAGTTCTGTCCCCCTCTTGTGAGCCTTGCCTTGGGACCCATTGAGCTCCCTTTGAACTTGGACACTCGAGGGCTGGCCCTTCCACACTGCACTTGTCCCCAATGGTATGAATTAGGCTTTGGATCGATTATCTTTGAATTGGTCCATCTCAAAATTCAGGCAGGAAGTCAAGTATCAGGCCTTTTAGGGTTGTAATTATTTTTTTTGTATTTTTCTGATGTATTTGTTACTCTGGATTGTAATAATTTGTAAAGAATACTCGGGGTTGGCTAGTGAAATAGGGTTGGGGTAACTATGCATGCAAAAAGGGTAGAAATAATGCCTATAGGTTTATTGCAATTCTGCATATTCAAATACGTATAGAAATCATGCCTATAGGTCTATTACAATTCTGCATATTCAAATACATATAGAAATCATGACTATAGGTTTTAAAAGCAATTTCTGCATTAGATACCATGTCTATAGGTTTTAAAACAAGTTCATCATTAGATACCATGTCGATAGGTTTTAAAACAAGTTCTGCATTTTCGATACCATGTCTATAGGTTTTTTTTTCTAAAAAAAACAAGTTCTGCATTTTAGATACCATGCCTATAGGTTAAAAAACAAGCTTCTGCATTCAGATACTACGTCTATGAGGTTTAAAATCAGCAATGCATAGAAAGCATGCCTATAAGAGCTTCTAAATGAATCTAATTCGTCTCGCTCAATGTTAGATCTAAGAATCAGTAATAATATGTACTTTCACCTGCAGAACCTATAATCAATCTGTTAATTCTGCCTCTCTTTTGACAATCTGAGTCCTTCACTTAACCAAAGTTGAGCAAGCATGCCTATAGGGTTTCAAATAATTCACTCCGAGTTCTTAGTGTCTCATCGCCTTCTGAATTTAGTAGATGTCATGCCTCTATGACCCCATATTAACACTTAGGCAAGCCTTAGAGTAATAATTAAAAACTGAATCTGTTTCTGTTAATTAATACAACCAGCAGGTAGTCCTGATTCGGGCTTCTTATCTGAATTATGTAGTAAACCAATCTGCCCCAATCTTTTAGACTCCCTCGTATTCAACTTTAATCAGACCTAAATAGTATGTGAAAGTCATGCTAATTATATGCTTTTCTGTTCAAGGAGGTATAACTGAGCCTTATATGTTTATATGTCTCCCCAAATATGCAGAATGTGTTTTGTATGTCGTCTATAATTTTTACCTTTGAAACCCCAGATGAGCCTAATATCCCTCCCTTCAGGATTAGTATTCCTAAGTGCCTCCGGGACTGGTAGGAACGGGATGGGTAATAGCATGCAATAAGTAATCGAGACCAATCCGCGCTTTAAATACCCTAATGGGGTAGGAAGGGTAGATATGGATATGATGACCATGCGATAGTGTCACGTGTAGCCCCTCGTTGAGGAGTGATTATTGGACATTGCGTGGGGTGATCCATATTTTTAATAAACCTAGGACTCCCCCTTTCTTTTATTTTTTACTCTTTTAGCATTGTAACTCTTTAAAAATCAACTTTTCTAATTGCCCTTTTCAATCTTGCCTTCAAACCATTATGTGTTGAAATCCCCTCTTATTTGAGCCTTATTTACCTATATGTTAATTGCATCTCAATTCACAATAATTGTCTGGCCGGGAACCACACTAGTGGATTCTGAGGGGTGCCTAACACCTTCCCCTTAGAATAATTTCAAGCCCTTACCCTATCTCTGGTTATTCAAATCAAACTCTTTTGGTGTCCACTTCAATTGCTAAACCCAGTTCGCAAAAGGAACGAGTTGTCCCTCCAAATGTCAAAAACCCGATTTTCGCGGAGGAAAAAGGGGGCGCGGCACATGCACAGATTGCTTATGAAGAGAAGAGGGCTCTATGAATGGCTCTGAATTAGCCCTTGGGTGTTGACCAGTTTGGAAATGTAGCTCCAGGCCAAAGGTCACCACTTGGTGATTATGCTAGACCGGTCTACAACCAAGGCTTATTTAGTGTGGGACCCCCTCCAGTTGCTGCCAACAATTTTGAGCCGAAGCAAGGGGTTCTTCAAACCCTCCCAAACAACTGTGTCTTTAGAGGAAAGATGAACGGATATCCAAAAAATCATCTGATGGACATCGAAGAGATCATGAACACCTTTAAATACAATGGTGTGCCACAAGATGCAGAGTAATTACGGGCATTCCCCTTCACTCTGAAAGATGATGCAAAACACTAGCTTCGAAGCTTGCCCCAGAGATCAATTAGAACACGGGAAGAGATGACCTCAAAGTTCTTGCTAAATATTTTTCCTTAGCTAAAACTGCCATGTTTAGAAGAGAAATCCATAACTTCTCGAGAATGAGACTTAGATAGTGTTTGAAGCATGGAAGAGGTTTAAAAAGATTGTGAGAAAGTGTCAACTCAGTGGAATTGAACTCTGGATGCAACTCCAGGACTTTTGGGATGGTTTTACACCGATCTCACGTAGAACAGTGAGCAATGCAGCTTGAGGTCTTTAATGAAGAAGACTCCAAAGGATATAGTCAGTTCTAGATGAGTTATCTAAAGATGCAAATCGGTGTCCCTCTCCATTCCACCACTAGTGTCCTTTATGGCCCCCGGGATGGCCCTTCGTAACCCCTAACACCTCTCTCGCAGCGTCCCTAGTGCAACTTGCGATCGTGGCCTACATGCTAGCTGCATCTCCCATACTATCACAGCCATCAACCTCTCCCCCAACTCTTGAACTTCTCCTTAGTCAAATTACCCCATTTGATCCTAGTTTTCCTGAACACCACCCTCTTTCTCTTGCTCCTCTGGATCTCCAGGTCTATTACTAGGAGTCTATGCTGGGTCATGATATTCTTAATCGGGAGGACCTTGAAATCAACGCATAAACTTTTATCACCATTTAGGTAAAAGAGGTAATCAATCTGGGTCTTGGATAAATCGAAAGGTGACCAGGTGCTCCTCTCTCTTTGGAAAACTCGAGTTAGCTATTACCAAATCAAAAGCACTAGGAAAATCAAATAGTGTGGAGGCCCTCTCTTTTCGGTCCCCAAAACCGAAACCGCCATGTACATCATCATAACCCCTAGCATCAACCCCAATATGACCATTAAAATCCCCGCCAATGAATATCTTCTCGGCGTGTGGGATATTGTGCACCACTTCATCTAAATCCTCCCAGAATTGTCTCTTGGCCTCTTGGTCCAAGCCTACTTGAGGAGCATACACGCTAATGACGTTTATAGTAAACCCTTCAACTACTAGATTAAGACTCATCAATCTATCGTTTACCCTCCTAACCTCAACCACGAGTTCCCTAAGGTCCCTGTCAACGAAAATACCCACCCCATTCTTGTCCCCAGTGCCTACTGAGTACCAAAGCTTAAACCCGTCCACATCCCGAGCCCTCGTACCTACCCACCTAGTCTCTTGGACACATGCTATGTTGATCTTCCTCTTATGAATAATCTTATGTAACTCTGCAGACTTCCCCGTCAACGTACCTATGTTCCAGGACCCAACTCTCAGCTTACAGGCTCCCTTACCCCCTTCCTGCCCTTACTCCGTGCCCCCCTCCACCCCCCCCCCCCCCCCCCGCCAACCCTCGAGGACATGACCTTACTCTCCCATCGTTCACCACAACCACTATAGTCTAAGGGGTCTTAAATAATCACTAACAGTCAAATACTAAATACCAAATAGCGAAAACCAGAAGAATATAGGCCACGAATTTGAAAGTTATGAACCAGAACAAGACTACAAGCAAGCAAATAGGAATTATACTAAAGCTAAGGCACCAATCAACAATACAAACAAACTAATATGCACTGTACAAAAACTAAGTTATTTAACTCGCAAGAAAGGAAAACAAAGGGAAGGCAAGATAGTTACCAACTCCGGGTGCGTAGAACCTGGGTTATTGATTTGGATGTCAAAGCATTGTTACAACACCTACCTCTGTCAATTTCCGGCCTTCCACCCACTGCTACACGCCTTCACTGTCGCTGGTCGCCGCCATCGAGTTAGTACCTGCACACAGCCATCGGGCCCTCGTCAAGAGGGAGAAACAGATGGCCTAGAGAGCGACGGTGATGCTCCTCGACCCAAATCTTGGTCGCCGCAACCTTCTTGAAAAAAATGGGGGAAGAGAGGTGGGTAGAACTGGGGATGCACAGAAAAATGAAAGAAAAGGGAAGGATAAAATGGAGAAAGAGTGAGGGAGAGGAAGAAAATAAGGGCGAATTGCAGTGAAGGGGTGTGAAGAAGAGGGGATGAGAAGGGTAAAAGAGAAAGAGGAAATAGAGAGAGGAAAGGAGAGAGAAAAACATAAAGTGAAAGGTGCTTACCCGTGATTCCTATGACTACCGATGGTGCCGCAAGGAAGTGAAGAAGGGAGATGACCGTTAATGGTGAGTAGGGAGAGGGAGAGAGAGAGAGTGTCGGTAGAGAGAGAGATTTGTATCCTTCTTTCAACATAGAAGATAATGCGAATACGAGTAATGAATGAATCAAAAACTGTCACGACCTAAAATCCAACTAGTCACGATGGAACCTAACCCAACCCGTTAGATAAGCCAAATGATAAACAACACAACTCAATTAGGATAACAAGAGTCAATAAGTAAAACATCTAAACTTTCTATACAAAATCCAAAGGATTGGTAATACAAGTCATGAGCTTTTAAGACTTTGAATTTACAAAGTTGGTACAAAATGAATACATCATCTGTTCGCAATATGCATAGTAGATTTACAAATCTAAAGCTACCATGAGAAAGAGGCAGCAATAACTGGGCCATCAAGGCCCCTGGCATACTATACATAACGAACCTGTGTCTAAAAAGCCTCTAGGAATATTTGACACCGAAATAAGGACAGGGCTCTGGCCTACCCATAAGCCAGTAGCAAAACTCTTACATGATGACATATAGACCCGACTACTCTCTGAATGAAGTGGAGTCTTACAGATCCTTCACTGAGTGCTAACATCGTCTAATATGAGGGCTCATCAAACTGGTTACCTACACCTACAGGCATAAATGCAGAGTCCATAAAAATAAAGACTTTAGTATGAATAATGTACCTAGTGTGTACGGCAGAACTGAAACATATCAATAAGTCAACATCAGTAAGAGAAATATAAGAATCAACCGGAACCTCTGAAGTGCGACTGAGGGCCATGATATGCATACTAATTATACTTTTATATTCAATGCTTCTTTTGGGACTATTATCCATATTGTAAAATGACTGCCCAACTGATTGGTGGTAACAGCCTGACCAGCCGTAGCACAATTATAACTGCATGACTGTCCAATCGACCGTAGCTCGGCGGTAAAGGAAGATGCATGACTTCCCAACCGGCCGTAGCTTAGTAGTAAATGCATTTCTGGCCGATCCGCCATAGCTCGATGGTAAATTAAGACGCATCACTGCCCAATCGGTCATAGCTCGGTGGTAAATGAAGATGCATGACTGCCCAACCGGCTGTAGCTCGATGGTAAATGAAGATGCATATAAAACTGTTGATACCCAATTTTTTCCCTAAGTATTTTCATACCCAAAATACTTCCAAAATAGCATATTGGTGCATATATAAGCACACCCAAGAGTTTTGGCATTTTTAACGAATTTTAAATTAATTTATTGCCTATTTTAATACAACAAAATCCAATGATTATTCCCAAAATTATCATTTTTTGGCGCAGGGGTCCGCTCCTGCGGTCTTCCCTGGGCTTGGCCCCTTCCGCTTCTGCGATAAAACGACCGCTTCTGCGGTCCAAGAGCCGCAGAAGCGGTTATGACAGAAGCAGCAGATAAGGTATTTCCTAAGTTTTCAACTTCACTCGCACCTCGACCATTTGACGCTCGGGGCTCCCGAGCCCCGCCCGAAAATACCGGCAAGTTTGAAACCACGAGGCGGACCTACTCGAGCCCTCGAAACGCTTAAAACAATGCTAAATCAGGGAATCAACCCCAAAACCAAATTATCCAAATCATCGAACCTTCAAGTTCTAAATTTCCTCCTAACGGGTCAAAACGCCCTTAAGCCACTCGGATTGACACCAAATTTTACAGGTAAGTCTTAACTGATATTTCGGACTGGTACCAAGTTTCGGAATCGAAATCCGAACCCGATACCTAGGAAAACAATGATTTCTTAGTTTATTTCAACCTTTGAAACTTTAACTTAACAATTTCACATAAAAATTCATTACTTGGGCAAGGGACCTCGGAATTCGATTCCGGGCATACGCCCAGGTCCCATATTTTCCCACGGACCCTCAGAAATTGTCAAATCACGATTCCGGGTCCGTTTCCCAAAAATGTTGACCGAAGTCAAACTTGGCCTTTTTAGAGAAACTCAAAGAAGCAACTAGACTTATTCTTGCTCAAAACTCTTCTAACTTCCGAACCACCTGTCCCCGCAAGTCATAAATTAGCTAAAGCAAGTGCGGGAAGTCTTATTTAAGGGAACGGGGTTCAAAAATGCAAAACGACCGGTCGGCTCGTTACATTCTCTACCTCCTAAACAAACGTTCATCCTCGAACGGACATAGAAAAGTACCTGGACTGCTGAATAAGTGGGGATATCTGCTCCGCATGTCCTCCTCGGACTCCCAGGTCGCCTCCTCGACCGGTTGGCCCCTCCACTGGATTCTTACCGCAGAAATCCTCTTGGATCTCAACTGGCGATCCTGTCTATCAACAATGGCAACTGGCTCCTCCTCGTAGCCCAAGCTCTCATCTAACTGAATGGTACTGAAATCCAACACATGTGAATGGTCGGCATGATACTTCCGAAGCATCGATACATGGAAGACTGGATGAACTCCTGATAAACTGGGAGGTAAAGCAAGCTCATAGGCAACTTCTCCAACTTGCCTCAACACCTCAAAGGGGCCAATAAACCTTGGGCTCAACTTGCCCTTCTTTCCGAACCTCATAATGCCCTTCATGAGTGAAACCTTCAAGAGAACCTTCTCGCCAATCATAAATGATACATCGCGCGCCTTCTGATCCGCGTAACTCTTCTGCCTGGACTGAGCTGTGCGGAGCCTCTCCTGAATCAACTTTACGTTATCCAAGGCATCCTGAACCAAATCTGTACCAAGCAACTTAGCCTCACCAGGCTCAAACCACCCGATCGGAGAACGACAACGCCGACCATATAATGCCTCATACGGGGCCATCTCTATGCTGGACTGATAGCTGTTATTATATGTGAACTCCGCCAAGGGTAAGAACTGATCCCACTACCCTCCAAAGTCAATCACGCATGCTCTAAGCATATCCTCTAAAATCTGAACTGTCCGCTCCGACTGCCCGTCGGTCTGAGGATGGAATGCCGTGCTAAGCTCCACGCGGGTCCCCAACTCACTCTGAACAGCTCTCCAAAAATGGGAAGTGAACTGAGGGCCTCTGTCTGATATGATGGAGACCGGCACACCGTGCAATCTCACTATCTCCCGAATGTAAATCTGAGCATATCTCTCCGCCATATAAGTAGTCGCCACCGGAATGAAGTGGGCCGACTTGGTCAACCTATCCACAATAACCCACACTGAATCAACCTTCCGCTGAGTCCGCGGCAACCCAACCACGAAATCCATGGTAATGCGCTCCCACTTCCATTCCGGAATGGGCATCTGCTGAAGTAGGCCACCTGGCCTCTGGTGCTCATATTTGACCTGCTGGCAATTCAAACATCTAGCAACATACTCCACTATGTCCTTCTTCATCCTCCGCCACCAGTAGTGCTGCCTCAAGTCACGATACATCTTCGTGGCACCTGGATGAATGGAGTACCTCGAACTGTGGGCCTCCTCTAGAATCCTCTCTCTCAAGCCATCAACATTAGGAACACATACACGGCCCTGCAGCCGTAACACACCATCCTCGCCAATAGAAATCTCCTTGGCACCTCCCTGAAGTACCGTCTCTCTGAGGACCGCCAAATGTGGATCATCGAACTGTCGGGCCTTAATCTGCCCCAATAACGAAGACTGAGCAACCACACATGCTAGAACTCGGCTGGGCTCCGAAATGTCCAACCTCACAAGTCTGTTAGCTAAAGACCGGATGTCCAAAGCTAATGGTCTCATCTCGGCCGGAATGAACGCCAAGCTACCCATACTCTCCGCCTTTCTGCTCAAGGCATCCGCGGCCACATTCGCCTTACCTGGATGATAAAGAATGGTAATGTCATAATCCTATAGTAACTCAAGCCACCTGCGCTGCCTCAAATTAAGATCTCTCTGCTTGAACAAATGCTGTAAGCTGCGATGGTCGGTGTAAACCTCACATGACACCCCATACAAATAATGCCTCCATATCTTGAGAGCATGGACAATCGCCGCCAACTCTAGATCGTGCACAGGGTAATTCTTCTCATGAACCTTCAGCTGACGTGAAGCATATGCAATAACTCGCCCCTCCAGCATCAATACACATCCCAAGCCAACGCGAGAAGCATCGCAANCAGCGAAGGGAATTGGTACGTGCGAAGTGTTTGTTAATATTTTCTAAAATGTAAGATATTGAGAGTTTTTGGCAGTAGATTACGCAAGGTTATAGTCGAATAGGAGGTTAAGAATCCTGGTAAAATTCCGGAGTTGTGTAATAGTGGCTTCGAGTGAAGTGGAGAGTCCCACCGCCTATGATGGGGTGCATAGTTAACTAATTGTGAGGTTTCTGGTTATTAGCGTATTGATGAGCTGTTCCAGCTACGGGAAAAGACCATAAGTGGTAATTTGAGCAAAGGAATTATTAAAGGTGGGCTATCGTTGGCCTTATTGGCCTATGTTCAGACTTGGGGGAAAGACTCAGGATTTATGCCTTGTATAAATGCAGGTTTCGAAGGAAGTGATTCCGCTGGGTGCCTCGTCGAGAGGGTATTCATGTGTTATAAGACTTATGAAGTTGATTATATTCGGGACCAAGTCAGAGAGGGTGGCTCTCAGTAACGGTTTTATTGGATTCAAAAAGAGGTAAAGTATGGTGCCTAATGACTTCGAGCCTATAAGTACAGTTAAGAATCAAGCTTTTGCAGCAGCTTATGAGTGGAGGCCCAGAATGTTCTATGATGTTTTGACTCGCAGTGTAGCTCTTGAGAGGAGAAATGAGAAGAGATTTCGAATTCGTAACCGGATTAGCAGGATGGGCGTATCAGTTGAGGGTGCGAATATGCGCGCAAGGAAGGTATGAAGTGGTTCGTGGGATTCGGGACAGCATAGTCTCATGATTTAAGGTCACTCGAGGTGAGTGTAGATGGAGTATGTTATGTGTTGGATGGAGTTAGCATTATCTCTAAGGCAATCAAGGATAAATTGGAAGCAGGTAGATTGAAGCCACAGTTGAATTTGGCATATTAGTGTTAATGATCAGTTCCTTCAGCGTGATCGAGTTATGCAAGTGATTTGTAATGGTACGTATCAGGCTTGTCAGCCGCCGCAATTGATGTTATTCAAAAGCATTCTTTTGTTATGGCTTGTTGTGTGGAAGCAGATTCCGGAAGGGCTATGGTGGCTTAGACCACTACTTAGAGATTTGCATATCCTACGGTTAAGAAAATTTGCCTGTGTGCTGCTATGGTTCTCCTGAAGTGAGTTAAGCGGAAAGCTTTTATGTGATGAAATGTCAATCTAACAGTGGTCCCGAAGCTATGATAAGGAACGAGTTCTATCGTATATTGGCATGTTAAATGCAGCAAGTGGTATGGAATTTGTAGTGAAGATCAAGGTAGCAGTTCGGTGTTGACAAGGATGTCACGAGCTCGGATGAGCAGGAGAGGAGTTTCGATGTTTAAAGTAAGTTGGTTTTGTCATCAGTGTCACCTGAGATAGGTTGTTTGTAAAAAGGACTTTGCATCCTGGTTAATTATTCTTGATCGCTTTTCGGCGTTAGTGCGGCCGGTGGTTTGGAGGTACGACCCAGTTATTTGTTATGGTAGGTTGTGGGAGTGTGTCCCATAGGAAGATCGTATAAGTGAGGCAGGTAGTCACTAGATTGATTAAAGACTTAAACCAAGTATGAAGGTTGTGATGATATCGTTGATTTGAGAATATATGCCTCGAGGGCACTCAGTTACAGAGTTGTGGACTGTGGATGAGTACTCCGGTTATGATGGTTGTTCTTGTGTGTTATGAGAAGAGGGAAATTAGTATGGACCTTTGAAAGGTTATTGGTTTAGTTGATATGCCTCTATCTTTATGTTATTCCAGGGGGCAGCTTTATAACTACAATCTAACTAATAAATAGTATGGTAGCCACCATCGGTACTAGTCCAGGAGGTCAATACTAGCGAGAGTCCCGCAGCTATCGGTGGATGAATTTAAATGTGAATATGGGCTCTATGTCAGGCCAGTTGTGTTCATTTCAGTAATGTGCTCCTTATGGGGGAGTA